CTGTTCTCTATGGGGAACCTATTGTGCTTTTCACGCAGTGCCAAACCTTGCCAAAGTTGTCTCATCAACTGCACTGACCTTAACGTTGATTTTCTGGAACTACAACAGTGTTGACAATGTCCCCTATAATCTTTCTATCCGATATAATCCTATCAAACGGTTTTCCTTGAAATACCAAATGATTTTACGACAGAGCTCTGAGTTGCCACTGGTAGATGCCGCATTTCCAAAACATTCTGCTTCCTTTTGATAGATGGCATTTGCACATTCCCACATCAACTGACACCGTATTGAACTGGTAATGTTTGTGTACCTTCCTCACACCGATTATTCAATCAGCGAACCGTGTAGGGCGTGAATTACACTCGCTGAAATGTCATTGGTTGAATGCGACACTCAGCAGATTGGCTGGTCAGTGGCCAACCCGTACATCGGTCAACGAGCAAGTGAATAAGTTTTCGCCCGTTTTCTCCGCTATCAAACAAAAATTAGAATGAAATCAAAGTTCATCTGCTTCACTACTCCTGTTATAGCAATTCATTCAGATCTTATGATTTCGTGTGTCATTTGGCGTTACCAGCAGGATAGTGTTCCCGTTTCGGACTTACTCTCCCTATTGTTACGCGAGTGACCACTGAGGACAGAGCTCTTCGTTTGAAGGGGTAGTGAAAATCTCTCCAACTGTGGCAGTAATATTCCGACCTTTGGGGTTCATTGCGTTCTATGGCCCTTGTCTTGAAGGTTTATGTCTAATTTCGACCCACGGAGAAAGTATCTGCCAGTGTACCATCGTAACCCCATAACCCACCAACCCACCCCACCCGTTCCATCGTTCTCCCATTGTCGTCCGCGCGCCAAGCCTCCTATCGTCTCCATCTGCAACACACGACCTGGGAAACATCCTGTCGCTCACGTTTGTCTAATCCGCTGCGCACGGGGACCCCGGAGCACTTTCGCATTACAATATATTGTATTATTTTGAGTTAAAACTTTGGAATCCGTTGAATCGACTTATTCATCATATTCATCATCACATCGAGTATGTTTATTTTCCTTCGTTAGTCTACGATTCAAACGATGTGTGATCATGGCAAGAAAGCAAACTGTATGAAACATCCAGCTTTGATCACACACAAAAATCTGGATTATCCTGGTTTCACTTGATAATGTATCAAATAATTGTCCATTTTCCCCCTTTCTCGGACTCTGTATTCCCTGATATACAGATCGTATTTAACATAGAGTTATATTCTATAGTCTGTTCTAGTCTGATAATGCGAATACAAACAAAAAATGATTTGATTACGCAACAGTAATGAGACATGAATCAAAACAAATCAGGATTTCTCACCATCAGCATGTAGTCCAACATTTGATGCGTTTTCATCAGCACGTCAATGTGTTTCAACAGTGTGAGCGTGTCCGCCTCATCGCTGGGCTTGCAAAGTTTGGTGTGCTCACACAGTTTGTTTAGTGTTTTCTGAAAGACCTGACAACTGGATGTTTCCAGCCCACGTTTGTTTGTCACGTCTGTTAAACAGTCACTAACCTGTGATGGGGTGTGTTTGATCGCGGGTTTGGAGTGGAGTTGGGAATGGAACAAATTTGAAATGAGAAAAAGAGAGATGGTATATCAACAGCCTTTTTGAGAGAAAATCCATACAAAAACTAGTTCCGAATGGATTAGTTTAACGAGCAATCGAATGATTCGTAACTCCATGTTCGCTTAATACCGCTTGGGGTTATCAGACCGAATCCGTATAACGCATATCATCTAATGATCTCATACGATTCACTATTCCAAGTATAGGGTAAAGGTGGTCGATCGCCATAGGTGAACGGTAGATCCTCTCGACGATCTATTCCAACCTTTCAGATACACACCATTCGACTGGTGTACATCAAAACGCGATTTTGGTCTGAAATCCACTCTCAGCTCATAATTGGAATATCTAAACGATAGAAAAAGAAATGCGAGACCAGTATCAGTTACACCAAATTTGATTATCTTCATCATAAAATGTTAGCTTACTGCCATGCTCTCTACAGAATCTTCTTATACACGAATTCACAGCTACTGGGGTGTGTGCTGAATTGTTGTGTAGGCTGGTATCCATGGCAGGGTAGTTGTGAATTCCGTATAGTTCAATGATAAAACAGGACTGCATGATAGTCCGGTCTTTGGTTCCCCACACAAACTCACAACATTTGCAAACAAGGGACCAGTTCAAATGAGAACAGAACAGCTGTTCTTTTTCGTTCGTATAGTGTTACCGAAAGTTTCAACGGGTTTATGAATATGTGCACGGTATCAAGAACAAATGGAAATCCCGGGATGAATCTATTCGAATTTTATTGTTTATCGTTGCGTGTTTGGACATAAGAGTGACAGAAGACAAATTGTTATGAGATTTTCTCAAATGATTCGGTTTTTCCTCAGTGATTATTTTGTTGCTTATATAAGCTGTACTGATTCTGAAACATTTCGCGCTAAAAAAAGGAAAAAATTTCGAATCACTTTATTTAGGTGATCCAACGGAACGGTAAAAAATATCAGCCCGATTGCATCGTGAATCGGAGCCGCTAACGAGTGACAGTGGTTATCCTAATTGAACACAACGCACGTAGCAGCAGCATCATCGGATGATCAGTCAACGTGATCTACAACACGACCAGCATGATAGATGAAATTGATTTTAGGAAACGAATGAAAGGAAGGATTATGTTGCATCAGTGCCAAATGGACCTTATTTATTTGATTAGAAAAGTTCGAAATTCGTTGACAAGATGTCGTTTTTATACAGTCTTGGAAATTTTGATTAGCTAGCTGTTTAAGTCCATTTTTCTCTTTTTGGTGATCTATTCCAACAAAGAGTTATTGACCGTAATATCGCGGTAAGCAAGTAAAATGTTTGGATCATCCGGATTTGTCCATAGACTAAGAACTCTAATTTACCCCGAGCCTTATCTCAGAAACATATTAGGTGGTTATCCGTCTTCCTGATGTACAGATCATTTTGACTAATCTAAGCCGTAAGTGTGCGGGAGTGAAACAGTTCTGGAATCAAATCGCAAAATATCCCATTTTTGTGGTTCTTTTCAAATTTCTATTACTGAGAAACAAAGTTTCAAATTGAGTATGTTCGGTTCCAGTACTAATAATTGAATGAAAGGCTACCAAATTGTTCAACTTTTGTGTGTACTTATCATGTCAATTGTTTCATTTCGAATGGTCCTCGAAGTGAGAAGGGCGTTGTCACTCCTGAATTGGTTGTCCCCGAGCTGCGTGCTTGTCACTATTTATTAAACTTAGTTCTCACATGGCTTGCCGTTCAACCCCCTCGCCACCCCACCGCCTAGATGGCGTGGTTCTTTCTGGGTGATGATGTCGTGTGTTGTAGGCTACTTCAGGCACAGTCCATTTTAAACCGCTTTCTGTTAAAGGTAGGAGGGGGAAGAACACGCAGCAGTTTTCACTGATGACTGGAAAAATGACCAGTCAGTGATGCATTTTGAGCGGTTCCTCACAGAAATTGTAGGACAAATAGAAAGGCATTCGAAATTGTTACGCCTTCAGCTACCCCCAGCAGATAAGTCAAAAGACTTGTGGGTAAAAGTTCTACCTAGGAGCCAGGTTGGAGATGATCTCGTTCAGGAAGCCAATTAGAGAGAAGTAATGGATTGCACAATCCCATATCCAAGTTTGAGTTTAACTCCACCTCAAGAAGTATTGACATTTGGACCACTTCCAGGTGCCTAATCTTCTCTTTGACCTTGAAGACAACCAATCACGTCATCCTGCTTCGAAGAGTAGATAAGCACTATAGAATCAGACAATTCCCTCCACTGAAGATTGGAAATCAATCATACGGAAAGTTAAGCAGTAAAATATTAGATGCAATAAATCAGCACAAAAATTGTCCTCTTTTGCAAACGGGAAAACTAATATCACACTACTATCCGACTTGTGGACTGACTGGATACTTCATTTCATCCTTGAATGATCCGCCAGAGTTTAGTTTTCAAACACTTATCATATTTCTTTCTTTTCTCTTTTTTTAACTTACTTCCTTTTATTGCATATACAAATACACCATTTTCAGGAAGAGAAAAGCGGCTAATCAAAGGACTGCCACGTAACACGCAATGGGAAGGTCAGGCGGTGGTGCTGGGATTCGAACACATCCCCTGGGTGATAACTTGGTGACGTTACCACCGGGCCACCACCGCCTGCGTTGTATATCATTCGTCATTTCCATTTTCAATTAGGTCGAGTTCTCATCTCATTCCGATCGAGATAAACATACGAAGAGACCAGGACACGAAAATATCCCCCGTTCAGGATTGAATGGTTTTGACAAAGACGGAACGACCGCTAAATCGCACTTCACACTTCAGACGTGAATGAGCTCTTTGGCTTTCAGATACGCATTTTGAGTGCCTATCTGCACAACCGCGTAAATGAATTGCACCGTATTGAAACTTTCATTTTTTATATATTTACATGTTCACCGTTCCATTGCATTTACTACCCGTGGTCAGGTCATTCGACTTCAAATGCATCAGACAAAAAACCGCGGCTTCTTTCACCACGTATAGGTTTTACTTGGCAAGCGTCTGTTCTTTCGCTCCATACGTTGAAGAAAAATTACTGTTCATTGTAGGCAATTAAGCTAAATTGCAAGCAGTTGCAAAACAAAACAGAATATGACACGCCCAGTGAAGACAATCCGGTACACGAAAAATTTGACATGCATGTGTGAGTTCGAATCCAACCGAAGCCATTGATATTTGTCATCATTTGAACAGCCAAAAAATCAAAAATACAATAAGCTTTTATATCTAGGTTCACGTTCTAATTCAGGAGCTTTTGGTTTTGTTCTACTGGTCTGAATATTTGTTTTTCAACAAAAATCTATACCATGAACTATTCGGTTATTGAAATAGGCAAATATTCAAGAAATGGATAAAAAGCAAACACGACCGATTCTAAAAGCATCTCATTTGGTGTCTGGTAAGTGAAGTGGAATGAGCCAGAACCGAGATAGAAACCCAGCTCTGGACACTTGAATCCGCGAATCTGTCAGTGTGAATTCGTGTGGTTCACTCACCGTTTTTGTGTACATGTCTACATCGTAGTCATCCGTTTTATGGAAACTGGGAATCAATTGTATCGCCTCGTGAATTTCCTTATCGGTTTTATTCACACCGAGCACCTCGTGCACTTTCTGTCCGAGCACGTGACAAGCGTCCATGATGTGATGATAATCGTCATCCTCGGTCAGTTCGTCATGATCCGAGGAACGTTCATAATCGTGGCTCACAAACTGCCAATTGGAACTGTTGATCCAGTCACCTCCAGCGGTGAAATTGATTGGCGGTAGCTCGAATTCTTTCTCGCTGGGTTCCATGATCTGATCAGCTTTATCACTCAAACTCACCACTGCACTGTCCAATACTTGGGTTGTTGAAGGCGTGGTAGAATGAACCTCATCCTCGACTTTTTCCTCTTTGTCCTTCTGTTCCACAGGTTTATTTTCTTCCGACTTCACATGCTTCACCGAAGCAACAGTTTGGTTGTCCTTGAGATCGGTAAGTGTGAGTGCAACCTCCTTGACAGGTTCAGATTCTCCTTGTGTTTCATTTCCGGTTCCTGTTTGATTTGTATTCACATCCAGTGTTTGATCAGCTAGAACAGTTGGTTCAACATTCTTTGTGACAATCGAATCGTTCTCCACGCTCTTGTCCGACTCTTGTGGGACTTGATCGTTTACCGGTGATTGTTTTTCAGGCATGACGGAGGTGTCGAAGACATCTCCAGCCGGTTTCTCATCGGCAACCGGCTCTTTCTCCGGTTCTGTTTCGGGTTGTGTAATTTCGTCTTTACTGTCCTCGACAGGCATTGGATTTGTATTGTCAGAATCCTTTTGATCTTCCACATTGGTCTCAGTTTCTTCTGAGTTTTCGCTTCCTTTATCCGACTGCTCCGGATCAGACTCTTCCTTTTCCGATTGTTTCTCCTCTGCTGAAGGTGCTGCTGCTGCTGCTACTGCGGCCTCCTCATCTTCGTTCCCTTCCTTTGGCTCTTCCTCTTTCTGCTCTCCGGATTCTGCTTCATCCTGTCCGCTGGCTTCATCGTCGTTCTCGGAGCTCTGTGGTTCGTTTGGTTCCTCGTCACGTTCGTCCACTTTCGGGGTCTCATTGGCATCTCCATCAATTTGTACATCTGACGAAAGAGAGAGAGACAATTTTTTATGGGCATTGCTCTCTCTCTGGAGGGCCACATTTGAACTATCATGTTTGAAAAAACTATTCTCTAAGGATTCAAAATCAATGTCTACATATTTAGATACAATACACTAATTCGGAATGTGATGAGAGTAATCGTTTGGATAATTGTGAATAGAGTTCTATCACAATGAACGGAGCAAATTTAGATGAAGTGCATGGACATGGTTAAAGTTTCCCTCGACTTTAATTTTCCCATATTTTCGATTTTTTCAAACATGTAAATAATCTTGCATTCAATGTTGTTCGAAGGGATAAAAAGTAATGTTTTACAACACGCGTATTACTCCTTGGGTCAAAACACTAAGTTTTACATTTTATTTCGAAGGAAGCTTCTCTCACCGTGAAAAGCATCCTAAATGGGCGACCAATGAAGTACAATTCGCTGCCTAATGACTGTTGGAAGATGCGGATTGGAAAAAACCATCTAAACACGACTTGTTGATTCTACGCTAGACAGTAAAAAAACTTTAAAAAAAAGAAGCAAATCGGAATGAAAATAAACAATTTAGCAACTCTTGACAAACAAAACAAAACCATAAGACCATCGTTGGACTAAATTTTAGAACCAGTGAATATGCCTTGGTTATCTAATCTCATGATCGAAGTGAAATAGAAGACTAGGGGGATGAAAGAAGCAAACCTTTAGGAGCCATGCCCGTGATGATAACGATAGAAAACAGACATAGAATTCCATGAGAGCAAGAAGAAGCATCATGATCACAGAGGATGTGTGTTGAATTCAACTATTTTGTGGTAATCTCATCAGTTGTGTACATACAATCAGATCACGTTTGGTTAAACGAGTGTATGTTCACAGCTGATGAGATTACCACGAAATAGTTGAATTCAACTCACATTCTCTGTGATCATGATGCTTCTTGTTCGCATGAAATTGTTAAAGGGAACTGGTTGCATCAAATCTCTAAAGGAGGACGTAGAATTGACTAAAGTATCGGAAAAACGACAAATGACTCTGAATTTCACTCGATTCCGAAATGACTGGGTAGAAAACGGATCTCACTGTTTCCGGGCAAGGGTAGATATACTATTTGAGCCTGTTATATAAAAGACAAGTGTTGGTGCGGCGATGGGGAACCATTTCGAGCGGAAAAGGTTGTAATTGGACCTGAATGCACATCTGGTGATTAATCATACGCTCATGGTTAGCTTGGATGCCATCATGAGAGTCAGTTTCTCAAGGTTCAGGTAACTATCTGTTTTACTCATTTCTGTTATAACAAATCGAAATAAAAACTACTTCCGAACCAATATCCAATACTCCCCGTGATTCCATTGTTTTTGGCTTTATGAAGTATTGTGAACCATTTATTGACCATCAAATGAACCCCCCTCACACGGAATGCTTTCATTTTGTCGAGCTGACTGCCAAGATCAATGATCGAACTATTCTGGCCACGTGACATTACGCAAGCATCAGAGAGGAGATCACGGCAAATGTATAATTTAAAAATTTTGGAATCCGAGATGTGTGCCCGAATTGCACAACTCGTTGTCACTCAGCAGCTAAAGGTATTATTCCCTGCGGAACTCAAGTACTCAGACGCACAACAAAGTCGTTGGAAGTGGCTAAATCCACGATAGTACATGTTCTTCGGTGCTGCCGTATCTTGCAAATCTAGCCCCACATTTTATATGACAAAATTACATCTTTTCTTTTACGATCGTGTTCCACAAATATGCAAAATAAAAGAATGATCTTTAGGCAACCATGGTTATTCTTTTCGGACGACAGCATATAGTTTTAGGTCAAAAATGAGACCTCCCATTTGCTTCCAATAGCAGAACCTGCCTTAAATGTGCCTCTTTGATTTTATGAGTAGTGGGAGGTGGTATAATTGTCAATGCAACTGTTTTATTACTATTATTATTATCAGTATTATTATTATTATTAAGCTACGTGGTTGAATTCATTTCGGACTTGGAATAAAAACGCAAATAATCATTTATATCCAAAGGGTCGAATATAATTTTATCTTCCACAACTTCACTGAATACGGCTTTCAAGCAAGAATTAAGAATAGTCCGTTGTAAAATGAAGACCACGGCGCTCACCTGATGTTTCATCCTCACCCGCACCCGACGGTCTTGCCAAACAGAGGGGCAGTGCCAAAAGGTAGAGAGCGAAAAGCGTTTGGAACAAGTGCATTGTGTCTGTAAAGCGAAGTGTGTGTGTGTGTGTGTGTGCGAGTGATTATTCAGAGGAAGTCGTTGGTTGTATCTGTTCGTCTAAAAGATGAACTGGGATGGGAGAAAGAGGGTTTGAACAAATGTGTCCATCAGCGTTGCTCACATGAAATCCATTTGTTTGAGTGATCTCTCGCTCGAAAGCTGGTTTCAAACACACGCTAACGGAGAACGAGTGACACATTGAGTGAAATCAATACTGGATACTGTGGTTCAATGCGTTTCACATTTTAGGAAAACTTTTCACATCGCGTAGTCTCTATAGGACAGTTTTAATTCGGATTCCTTCATAAACCGCATAAATCTCATGAATAGTTTAAAAGGATATGTGAAAAAAAGATCAGTACTTTAATTCAATCAAGTATTCGTATTTTTAATACTGTGGTGTGAAAGAACTTTGGGGTTTATCGAAAAATCGATGCATTCTTTGTGCTATATGCTTTATTATTGGTAATGTGTCTACAGTAAAGATTATAATGCGTTCACGAATCGGTCAAGCTTTCCACAAGACACGATTCGGAAACACTTCCCTCTATTTACCGTTCCCAATGTGGAGATGTTACAGTTAGTACCGATTGTCTCATTTAACAGTGGACCGTTCCGAATACACCGACTAGGTCAATCTTTTCTCGGAGTATTCAGTCGTAAAATGGTCCGTTTCAAATCGAGTAGGAAACTAGTTAATATGCATATTATAGGACTGTCAGCTGTATTTTCCTGCAAATGTTTGGCGGGATTTGCTTGTGTATTGCCGAAACAAGCACAGATACCTTTGTCAAGTCCATGCATCTCTGGAATTGGGTCAGCATAATTCGTCGTGAAAATGGTGCCTAAAACGTTCACCTATCCTATTTTATCTTTTCGATTTACTTCCATTCATCGGATACACAATGATATCATCTTCAGTAGGGCATTGTGGCAACGCAAATGTTGCCTAAGCAAATACAGAAAATGGGAAGCTGAACGATGAAGGCAGGGTTCGAACCCTGAATCTCCAAGTGGCTATTTTGACGACCTTATCATTTCCAACTTACTCGTATAGCTGGGAGAAAGGTTGACGGAAACANACGGAAACAACAACGTAATACGCAAATTTGGATCAGAAACGGCCATTTGGTGTATAAAGTTGATCACTCCATTACGCGGTCTCCCGTGTTTTCCCAGGCACTGATCAATCTGGACAGTATTGACTGTTCGATCGTATTTTTCTTTCAAAAATAAACGCCTTATGTATGTATGTTTCATTTTGCCCTAGGGGTTCCGTGTTCGATAAGTAACAAAACACGATCGGAATTGTCCGGCTATAATCCCCCCTCCCCCCTCCAAAAAATAGCACACATATCTTTGTGCACAAGTTCTATAGGGTCGTGTTCACTTTTACATTTCGCTCAACGATCGCTTGACCGAGATCAGAGAATACTATCTGGCGCAGCGTAAGTTGTATCCGAAGGTAACATGGCTTGAGCTAATGCACATGGTGTAACGCTTACCCCCAACAGATTTCAAACAAACCACAAGGCGGGTGTATTCATTTTAATCGCAAACTTGATTGAGTCAGGCAGTATGAAATCAAAATTAACTGATCAGCAGATGTATGCGGTACAAACCACCGCACAATATTGCCTTATCTATGAAAAACTTGCAACAATTGAACGCTATCACAAATGTGAACTAGCTTGCCTCTGTGTCACTCTGGTCCTCAGGACAGAGGCCTAGATGCAGTGGGTGAACATACAAATGATAGCAAATACCCCACTCTCAAGCATACTCCGGGCACATCTATATTCCTAACTCCGATTGTGTATCTGGTTTATATGGTTCTGAAAGGAAGATGGTGATAGTCCGATGAGAAGAGTACTTCATTTGTCCTGTTACGGACTAGGTAACTGTGCCTTTCCGGAAACCAGTAAAATGTTTCAATGTCGTCTTGCTCATACAGACTGCACGTTGGATTCTGTGTGTTAAATTACATGCAATCAATTGTTATTATGACAATTTCTCTCTTAGATACCTTTTTTATAGTTACGGAGGGAGAGGACAACCCTTTGAATACCGACAATCTAAAACCGTGAACGAGAAAGTTACATATTTCACGTCTGATACTGGTTTTACGAGTATGAGATGCATTGGGGAGAAATTATACTTTTTAGCCCGCGGTTGTCGATAAAGAATAGATGGATTGATGGATGGATGGATGGATGGATGGATGGCTACAACAAGCAATTATACCACAGTCTGTGAAATTTCCAGACCCCTTACCGTGGTTGGACAGATAAGCAGACAAGGAAGTTTAATTTTTATTCTGTTCCCACTTAATGTTTGATGGTATAGCTGCAAGGAGAACTTTTTTTCAAGATGACTGGTATATTTTTGTGAAGCTTACTAAACTTTCTCATCTACCTACATTTACATGCACATGCATACAGACACATATGCACCACTTAATAATGTGTTATTCTGTGTATTTGTCACGGATACACTTTGAACACTGTAGCCAAAAATTAACCACACAAGTACACCGTACTGAATAAACAGTGACTGTTAGTTTCCTCCCGTGAAAATGGTCTATGCCGGTCCCAGGCAGATAAAAATATCTGCGACGATGAGAGAAACAATTATCGTGGAGTGGTGTAAATAGCAACCATAAATAAAACTAAATACCCATCTTGACACAATAATTCCCATTCGAATTTAGCTTTTTTACCCCACAAACTTAGGTGTTAGTTGTGAATCTTGAAAAGCTCAGCAGTCTAGACTGCACACTGGTTAGGAAATGTTTTGGTGATAGGCTCTAAACCACTTTGCATGTCAAATTAACACCAGATAATTTGCAGTATGTTCTTCTATCATTCTCGAACAAAATAGGCCTAAACTGGTCATAGGGTGAATGGTATAGGGACTATTCATTGATTGTCTGATGATATCATGTACAAGATGGAGACCTAATATGTTGGCTGGGTGAAATATCACTGAAGTATATCATTTACCATAGCGTGCAAAATTGTCCAGGTGTTGGAAACCGGTATTCGTGTGTGATTCTCTGTTTTTACCCAATCCGTGTGGGTGAAAGCTAGCATACCAAAACGATTCATATTGCTGTTCATTCAAAGAAAGAAGAGTTCTAAGGCGTTCCAATGAAATCGACCACACAATGAAGGATGACTAATAGTGAACTTAAAACAAAACGATTCAATGTTATGATGTGCTGGATAGTTCGGTTCTGCCAACTGTTACAATTAAAAAAAGTGAAAATGGACTAGGACGAACTCACTTCTGAGAGAGAAAATATTCTTCCACAGCACAGTACAGTACTGTGAACGCGATTCGACTGTGAGACCGTACTGTTTGAAGACCGTTTTATACTCCCGAGGAAAACCCGAATAAATCAATTATTCGGACAGCCACCCACCCCCAGTTGAACTTTCTTCTCAGTCATTAGTAGCTGACAGATAAATTCACTTTCCACCCCAGACCCTAACACACATACACCTTGGCTTTTTCTCTTAGGCTCTTACATGTGGGTTGCTATTGGCGCCGTGCTATACAAGCAAGGTCATGAATAGTGATATGAGGGTGGTCTGAGATGAAAGCAGAGGACACGATGTAATCATCTATCGGGCATTGGTTGGTTGAATAAAATCATGTACCCACATTTTAGTGAACGATATGTGGGCACCGAAATTAGTTCGGTGAGTAAAGGGAGGGGGGGGGTGAATTCGTGTTTTTTCATAATAATGTATTGATTTTGAATTTTGAATTCATCAAACAGGATAAACAACGGTATCCTATGAGTTATCCAACACCGATGGAAATTGGAACACTTGTTTTCAACTGAATGGTATTTGCAAGAGAGTGATGAAGTATCTGCTTTCACCTCCTGAAGGAATCCCTGGTGTATAGAGCAAATTAAGAGTGAAATGAAAAGCTAGGAAACTATGCACTTCTGCCTCGATCTGGTTGGGTCTCATCAGTAGTGCGAATCCATTGACCCGGGATCTCACAGGCAGAGCACAAGCATGCCAGGCACTCGGTCTCATAAAATACCATGAATACCATTTGTCTGTTCACAGTAAAAGTTCTATCGATAGCAAAGAAGTCGAAGGCGCTTCCCGTAGATGGAAAATCACTTTCCTAATAGACTCAAAGTAATCACTCACAACCCGAGTTCATTAGCTGAAACAGACCCAGATTTAATCCTTTTTTCTCACACAAGCTAAGAACTGACAAATATCGAACCTTGCCGAATGGTACATACAGTCACTACGGGTAAATAAACTGCTGTACACATACAGTATAGCTACATTTTCCCATTGAAGGATGGACATCGACCTTGGGGCAGTAAGTACATCTTCCATACCTTTCTTTTATCGCCAGGTTGCCGTTAGATTCACAATCCTCTTTAAACAATGTGGTGAAAGCAAACTTTCCAGTGACCAGTAACTTCGAATTCTCCAAATCAAGTGTGGTGATCTGCATTTGCTCCCACATGAGATGCTCACAATTTGTTAAAACCTCTTAATGGAACGGTCTAGTCAAAAGAGGTCAGTTTCATACAAAAATATGGATAAAACTATCGGATCTACAGTGAATGCAACTCCGACTTGTGAGGCTTGGCCAACGTTAATTGACCTAATCATCCGTGCGGCTGAGAGGACTACTGAGAGTCACGTAGTAACATGCGTTATCAATCCTCCTGATCACAAAATGTTAAACTCATCCTGGACTTGGATGAAAAAGACGAAAAACACCTGAACCAATGTTACACCAGCTATGCTACTGTTTTACTTCAGCTACCAATCTCGTCCGCCATTTGGATCAGCACGGTTTGAATATCAGACGCTCCCAACCGAGTTTCCTTCACACGCACGCCCCTTCAGGAACCTGAGGTATCAGTGGCGTACATAATTGCGGTGGCACAACGTCTGCTTTTGCGAGACCATGTTCATTGCGAGACACAGTGGC